CGGTCGAAGAAAAAAGAGAGCTAGCCGCTCGGCGTATGGCCGAGTACCAGAAGCGCGTCAAGAGCTCGAAGGACGTTCGGGTCAACCCTCGCTATTTTCAAGTTGGAGATTATGTCTTACGACGAAGGGAGGCCAGTCAACCTTTAGAAGGGGGAAAGCTAGCTCAGAACTGGGAAGGGCCGTACATCATCAACGCTGTCATACGGCCGGGTACATACCGACTAGAGACAACGACTGGTCGGCTAATCGAGGGGACTTGGAATTCCGAGCACCTCGTTCTCTTTAGGCATTAGCCTATTTTTTTTTTTTTTGTATTTTTAGACGAAGTGGGGGCTTGACCTGCGAGTTAGTCCCAGTCGTCATTTCTATGTAAATTTATGGTTGTAAAATTAGTTCAACCGCCTGCGAGCGGGAAAGTTTAATGTATATACGATCAATGATTGCTCGACCGTTTGTATGCGGCGGCACGATCGGTTATTTTCTCTCACCTTTATCACAACCAGATCAGTTCAACATTCAATCGATCGGGCGAAGTCTGTCGACCAGTCAAAACGCGCTCCACATAGGCGGACGCTCAAGTCACGCCACCGATCGGGGAAGCCAGGAGCTCTCGGCATTATTCCCCGATCCGTCCAACTTCTGTCCACTATCGCACCCACTCGTGCCTCGAGCGCACAATAGTGTGGGGGCTGGGATAAGGAAGTATGGTACAAGGCCTGTCACTCGGTTACATTCCGACCGTAGAGGCTTGCTTGTTCTCGGCCCGTCGCTCGGTTACATTCCGACCGTAGAGGCTTGAAAATTTCTCGACAAAGGCCCGGAGATCGGGTAAACCTGATCGGTTGGCCAGTTTTGAACGCCCGACCAGGCCATAAGGTCGTAAGATTGGGCGTCGAGTGAGTCGAACCAGTGCAAGATCGGGCCACAAGGCCGCGTGGTCGAGTGATTATGATCAGTGTGTAAAGAATGAAAAGCAAGAAGATAAAAGACGAACGACGCAAGTTTGAGCAAAAATAGATATTATTAATCCACAAAAGGCGCCCGGTACAATTCGGGACCGGGCTCCCGATCAATCGTCATTACAAAAAAGGGGGAGACAAGCCTAGCCTACTTCTTCGCCTCCCGAGCCCCAGCAGCTGCTTCCTTCCCGCTCGAAGGGGCCGCCGACGATGCCCCGGGCTCGGACGCCTTGGCTTTCGGGGCGAAGGGAGAGGGACCGGGATCGGCTAGGTCTGGGGGCAAGACCGAGAGGACCAGCTGAAGGTCCTCCCCCTCCAAAGCTTGCTCCAACCGGGTACGGACTCGTTCGAGCATCTTCCGCTTCCCGGCCGAAAAACCCCAGCGGCCGAACGAGACGATCAGTTCTTCACCGATCGCGGTTCCCCGGGCTTCTGTGAGGAAGGCCGAGCCCAGGTCCTTATCTTTGAAGGCTGCTCGCGCTAGCTCGCTCGGGCTCTCGAGCTGAGCCTTCAGCTCCCTGGCCTCCCCAATCGCCCGGCTGGCGACCTTCTCGGCCAGCACCCGCTCCTCGTCACCCTTCTTCAGGGCCTTCTGCGTTTTCTCCAGCTCGGCCTGGAGTTCCTTGATCTCCTTCAGACGACGAGCGGCCGTCTTCTTGTGGTGATCAGCCTCCTCGGCCAGCATAGCTTGACCCTGAAGAAGTTGGGTCGCCCGGGAGATCTGCAATACAAAGAAGGGTATTCAAAATTAGCCCGATCAAAGATACTAGGGCAATAAAAAATTAAAAGTTGGGACTTACCTCAGCAAGATCGTAGCCGATCCGCTCAGCAACCTGGGTCGGGGTCATCTTCCCCAGGTCCGCTCGGGCTGGCGCGGCATTGCCGATCCGTGCCAGCACGGATGTAGGCTCCCTCTCCCGCCCGGCCGAAGGGGTCGGGCTGTGCTGTTCACGGCGGCGCTTCAGGCTGCCCACCTCGGTCGCGCCCTGGTCGGCGACCTTCTCCTTGCCCCGGGCGACCTCCACCCGAGTGACTAGAACGTCCGGCTGCTCCACGATGAAGCCCTCGCCCGTCGTCACGGTCGAGGCGCTCAGTGGTCGGGCAGATGGGATCTCCTTCTCCCCGGCCGCCTTGGTCTTGGCCTTCTTCTTCCCGCCGAGCGAGATCTTGACGGGTGGGGGAAGGGCGGTGTCTTCATCACCGAACTCGGCCGTAGCTGCAAAACAAGAAAGTTAGTTAGATAGAGATAATAAGCCAGGTCGAGAGAAGTAGCTCATGGCAAACCTTTCTTCTTTCGTTTGGACGGCTTGGCGACCGTCACGCCCATCGGAACGGGCAGGTACTTTTCCCTTAGCTCGTACGTGGGGGGCGGGAGCTTGGCGGCTTCCAGACTCTCGGCCGTCCGGAAGATGGTGTATTCGTGCAGCTCGCTCGAGATCCGGGAGATCGTTTCCTTGAGCGCCTGGGTCGCGTCCGCCACCACTTGTTTTCGAAAGTGGGTGCTCCAAGTGCGGTCAACCGGGAGGATCCAGGGGTCGTACTTGATGGAGAAAATCCTGTTTTTCCACCCCTTGTTGTTCCCGGGCAAGCCTCTGATCGAGCACATATCTGCTCGGGATTGCAGCATCAGGAACCCACCCCCGTAGCGGCCCGGGAGAACCTTGATCTGGTAGATGAAGTTAAACAACTCCATCGTGCACTCGGCCTCGTGCCGAGCGCATATCTGTGGGAAGCAGGCCAGGATCCGATGTGCGTTCGGGCAGATCTGGGCCGGGACGACCCGGTAATAGGCCAAGAAGGCGTTCAGGAGGGGGGTGAAGGGAATGGCGATCGGGGCCATCAGGGAGTCGTAGTGCATCCCGATCCACTTGCCCCGATGCCTCTCAATCACGTTTCCCAGCTGCCGGCTCGTGTCGAATTCTGCCCGACCCCGGAGTATTTCAGCAATCCGAGCCGCCTTGCCTTTGGACAGCAGGCTCATTTCTTGCTCGACGCTCTCGCTGTTCAAGAACTCGAGCTCGACGGCTGGTGTGGCCGGCCCGGCCGGGTCTTCTTCGGTCTACTCGGGGGTATTTTCTCGATCACCCCCTCGAGGAGCAGCCTCCGGGTGGTCCCCAACCACCCGGGTAGGCGTTTCCCTAACGCCCTCGGTTGGAGAACCCCGCCCGCTTGACGTGATCCTCTCTTCCTCTTCTTCGCTGGAGCTCCCCGATCCGCTCAAACTCAAGCTTGACGATCCAGAGGAGCTTGATGCATTGTCTCGCTCGGCGGCTTGCTCGGGGGCTGGCGTCGCTCGGGGACTGGCGTCCGGGGTGTAGGACATAATGTCCAACTCCTCGTCGCTGATGTGCTCGACCTCCTCGTCGTAATCAGCAATCGAGGCGTTTTGACTGTCTGAGTCCGTCATATCGATCTACCTAAAGGTCGGTCGGAGTTAGTAGGGACTTGAGACGTCCGGGACAGTTAGTTGACCTAGCAGTTCTACCTATAAATGAGAGCCTAAAGTAAAGAGGAGGGTTAAGAGCTTACCGGTTGGAGGAAGATTGAAGTTTGAAGCTTGAAAGTTGAAGTTTGCTTGTTCGACTGCCTTGCTAAGCTGCTCTGCTCGGGACTCTCTGAGGGTACCGACTGATGCGAAAGAGTGAGGAAAGTTCAAATGAGGGCCTCAAGGGCCTATTTATAGGAGGGCATTTAGGCGGGAAATGGGCCAACTTGCCTGACACGACCCGCGCTGAATCCGAGGCGACGGATGGGATCGCCGAGGCCGGCAGGGGCCGACACGTGGCGTAGAAGGGAATGACAGCTGGCAGGTCGGCTTGGTGGCTGACGGTTGGGCTTCTTCATCCCGTCCCGTTTTTTCCCGACTGATCAAAAAGGCCCGGGCTGGGGGGCTCTTGGTAGGGAATATCCCGACCGACATAGCTCCACCACGACCGAGGAGTCTTGTCTCTTTCTCCTTGTCTTTGCAGGTAACAGGTCGGGCTCCTTGAGAAGAACCCGGTCGGGAACCGACCGGGAGTTGCCCGAGCGATGGTGTCAACCCCGAGCGGTAGTCCTTCGGCGAGAGAGCTGACTAAAGACACGTGGCGGCTCTTTACATCGACAGGCAGGGCACCCAGGAGGATGGCACGTGGTGGCTACGTGGAAGACATGCCGAGCGGCTGGGATCTTGTCTCCGGCACAGCGGCTATAAATGCCCACAGTAGCTACAGTGTAGAGGACTTTTGGACGATCGATAGGTTGTTGTTAGAGAATCCCGACCGCAGTCAGTCGGTACTCAGAGCAGCCAAGTAGATTGTACTTAGGGCCTTTACCGGGATCAATAAAGATTTTACTTGCTTTAATTGGTCTCGTGTTATTTATATTGCTTACGTAGAATTAGCAGTATCAATATTAATTAAATATAAAACTTTACCAACACATACAATAAACTGTTTTCCATACTTCATTATGCTTTAATATATATATAGATAATATAAAGAAGATAAAAATTATATACAAAGAAGATAAAGATTGAATGATCTATTTGACCGTTATTCTAAAAATTAAAATTAAATAAAAAAGTCCAACCGACCTCAAATAAACTCCAAATTCATTAATTAACCAGGAACAATTAGCATTTTTAGTAGGTTAATAACAAGTTTGAGCTGATTGAGTGCCATGTGTATATTTTATTATTGTTATTTGGCCATCCACATATGTGGATATTGCACATTTTCTAAGAAAAAATAAGCCAAGTTGGCAGAGAGAGAAGCAAGAGAGAGAGGATTGAGGCTCCTCTGCAAGAGAGAAAATAATGACAGATTTTATTTTTTCCTCCTCCCACTTACGAAACTCCTCAAAAACCACAAAAATATCTCCACTACTAAATATTTGTACCTTTTTCCAATATAAAAAATTAAAGCTAAATTTTGGAGTCAAGCCAACTTTGAAATTTCATTGATCACTACAATTTTTCTGTTACTTCCAAAGATGGCCAATCAAGTAAATAGCAGGAGTTCATTCTCCAAAAAAAAAAAAAAAAAAAAAAAAAAGTAAATAGCAGTTCTTTTCGGTTCTTTCTCCGTTTCCCGAGACAAACACTGCCTTTTCAGTTCTTCCCATCGGTTCAGAGCTCACTGACTGACGCTGACATAAATACTCAAACGCAAGGAAAAACCTACTGCTCCACTTTTTTCCAGCAACCAACCAAGAATTATCTTCAAAATTTTCAAATTCGCAATATTCTTCAATCCCGGATAGCTCTCTGTTTCTTGAATTCTACGGCAAGTATTGAACTGAGAATACTCTGTTTTACTTAACGTACTTTGGGTGAATATCCGTTTACTTATCTTGGTCTTTTGGCTACATTTTGATAGTTAAAAGATGTTCTTTTTGAGGATTCCTGAATAGTGTTGGAGTATTATATTTTTCAGGTCCTCTCAGTGCAGAAAAGCTGGCATGGCCCCCAGATATGGTAAAAAGGTGAAGGTAGAGGAAGGAGAGACAAGCGACAGGGCCGAGGCGTTATCGCGAAGAATCGACAAGTTGTCGCGTCTTTATGAGCTCTCCAAGTTCTCTCAACCGGACTGTGTTCGCCGAAGCGTTCGTTCGGAGTACACTGCAATTCAAGACTTTATAAACGGTATAGTATCTCAGGTTGTCAGCTTTAATATTTATCTTTTGTGTCTTTGGATGGCGAGGCCACAAACTTTTTGGGTGTAGTTAAATCATGTCTTGTGATCTTTATGGACCATGAAGGACCATTTTAGATTATCCATAATTGACACTTAAATTAAGAGGGTAAAAATTCAAACTTGTGAGATAACGAGGAAGTAAACCAGCCTAATTTACTCAAACCAATTCCTTAAATCAATCTAGGTTATTGATAACTGACCAACTCAAACCAATAGTTAATGATTCAAATTTGTAACCTTGTGGTTATAAGTGTAGATATATTGTCAATTTATCATTTTGGATTACGAGGAAAATTCCACAACCTTTTCGAGTGTAGTTAAATCATGTCTTGTTACTCTCGCTGTCAAACGATCATCATGAAAGGCTAGGTTACCCTTAACTAATCGGTTCGGCTCAGCTCAAATCAAGAGGGCAGGAGTTCGAACTTGTGAGCCGGCGAAGGATTTTACTCATAATTGATCGGCTCAAATCAATTTGTTAAATCAATCTAAGTTACCCATAACTGATCGTCGTTAAACTAGCGTTGGCTTAAGTTACCCATCGTCCTTAAACCAACCTAGGTTACCACTGCCTTAAACCAGCCTAGTTACTCATAACTGACCAGCTCAAATCAAGTGGACAAAGATTGGAATTTATGATCTTGTAGTTTGTAGATGTCTTGCCATCTTGGCTAGGATTATCCTATTTTTTGTTTTTTAAATTAAGGTTTGTTTGATTTGTGTTTTTTTTTTCTTTGAAACACCAGAGAGAAGCTACGACATTGGGAACGCCGAGTCTGACAGGTTCAAGAAAATCTTGGGTGACGTTGAAGGCTTGTTTCAGAATGGTGTGTGTGCTTTTCAATTTCATCCCGGCCTATTTTGATTAACTGGAATAAGACAACAAGAATTCACTTCTAATATTTTCAGATGTTTTATTTTGGAATTCATAATTACTATTTTTCCCAGTTACATGGCCAAGAGAACAAGTTGCAGATGCAGAAACAATGCTTGAACTTACCAACACATTGGTGGCTTCTGTTCAATCACATCTTAAGGGATCTGTTTCACCATCACAGTTTGTTTCCTGCATTCTTAAAGACTATGGAAGACGACGAGCAGGGAAGCTCTGTAAGAATGCCCGTCAAATGCTACCCTGGAAAGAAATTGGCTGTGCTGTTTCACCTGTATTCATGGATGGCTCTGGTTTGAAAACCATGTATGCCTTTCAGGTGTTTGAGAAATTGTCTGTGAGAGGGGAGAGATCAGAAACTTGTTTTATAACATTGTAAGTGGATATTGCCTTTCTTTCTCAGGGTTGGACCGATGGATTATAAGGTGAAGCTTGAACGAGTGGATTGTAAGATCAAGCCTGAACCATTGAGTTGTATGATCAAGCTTAGAGGAATCAGAAATGAAATTAAGGAAAGGACAAGATGGACTCCATATGCTCGCCCGACCAAGGTTATTGTTCTTCCTTAAGGAACCTATTCTTGGTTATTCACTTATTCTTGTGTTGTGCAGAAAGAGCAATACAACCTGTTATGCACTTATACTCCAACTTATAACAATTTACATGATTGTATTTCCTTTAGAAAACACTTTATTTAGGACTTTCTTGGAGGCAACAACACATTACCAAAAATTTTGCTATCCTTTTTTGTTAGGATCAAGTGCTTACCACAACGCTAAAAGTTATAGTTAGTAGCAAAGACGTAACTTTATTTCTTTATATAAACTGTCATCACATTCTCGAGAGGCAGGGTGCTGGACTTGGCTCTTTACCGGTCTCTGCCCAACATTTTTAAGTATTTTCTGCAGATTTGATGCTTGGTAGCAATTACTAGAGTTCAAATTTCATCTGTGTTGTTTCTAGTTGATTGACCCTTTTTGTTTCTTTATCTAATCCTTTTGCCCTGCAACAGGTTGTGGATAGCACCCCTGAAAGGAAATCCAACACTGAAAAGAATGTTTCAGTAATGTCTGACACCATAGAAAAGAATAAAAGCGTAAAGCTTGAAAATCTTATCCTGAACAGAACCTCCTATGCCCAGACCATTGAAAATATATTCGCGCTTTCTTTCTTGGTACAAGACGGCAGAGTTGCTATAAGCGTGGCTGAAAATGGCTCTCATTTTGTCTGTAAGATAAATAATCTCTTACACTTTATTCAACATAGTAAGGATTCTATTCAAATTTGTCATCTTACTCGTGTTCTGTTCTATATATCATAGCTCCAAAGGATGCAGGTGGTGCGTGTACTGTGCTTCCTACCAATATGGCATACAAAAATTTTATCTTCAGATTCGATTACAATGATTGGAAGGTAGTAGCATGCAAATCTAATTCACTCTATTTTGCTGAATACATAGTTTGTGGACACAAGTAGGATTGCATATGCCTCTATCTTATCTATGTCATAGTTTCCAATGAAGTGAATCAAGAAGTGTATGCAACTTCAACTAATATCTATAGAGTATGAAATTGAGAACATTGGAGGATACAAGTTATATTTGAACTTTTTATCTATTAAGTTGAAAGACTTAATACAAACCTGATAATGACATTTTGTCATAGACTCATCTACAATTCTAATTTAACTGGCAGGTGATGTTAGATTTGGTGCCAGGGGGCGAAGAGCTGATGCCCCACAGGCCTATTCTGCAGTTTGAGTTATCATGAATTGTTACATGGGTTGTATGTGTATGTAACTGCAACTCTTTTGTCAGCTGCCTGCAAGATCCTACTGTTTATATGTATATTTTGTAGAGCAAATAGATGCATCTGTATGAAATGGTTAGGCTGCTGCTACTGAAAGTGCATCCTGTTGTGAAGGGGCTGTTCTTTTTTCAAGTAAGCTTATTAGCAGAATGCTTTTTGAGAAAATTAGCAGAATGCTGTTTACTGATTTTGCATTTTTTTGGCTTACTAGCTAGGGCTGTTGGAATGGGTAGTTCTCTTTTGAAGGTGCAAAAATGTCAACCGCATTGATTGTTCAATTAAGTTCAAATTGACGTGTTTATGAGGTTAAATCAATGCGGTGTTGACATGTGTCATATTTATTTTATTTTTTAAAACAAATGTTTTTTATTTATTAAAAATTAAATATATTTACTATAAATAAATAAATAATTAAAAAAAAACAGCCACAGGAGTGAACACATTCTGTAATAATTTGTGACTTTTATAGAACACACGTGTTGAATTTTGATACTATATATACTTCGTCAAATATTCATAAAATACTCATTTACCATTTGTGCAACATAAAATTTATTATATTATCTTTATATAGAGCAATGAGAGTAAAATAAAGTATAACCAATTTAAGACTTGGTATCATTGATATTAAATAAGATAGCTACTACCCAAGTAGCCCATCAAAATCATATGTTGATTTCTCACATAAGAGTCGAAATCTTTGTATTTCAAAAATACGGGAGGATATGTTAAGCACTATTCTAATATTTCATTGTAGGAGGAGTACTAGATGTTGTTAACAATTTCATTTCAAATACAATATCACGCATGCTGTGATTATGGAACTTCTAGTCCCAATGTAGTGCTCCAACCGACGATGAAGTGATTGACATTTGGTCTTAAGTTATCCCCATTATTCTCTTCAAATCTAAACAGTTTGTTATCTAGTTCAAGAGATTATTAGGCAATTGTTATTATGATAAGAACATAATACTTACCATATAAAACATTTTCAAGATGTTATTCAAGATTGACTAACTGGTGTTTAAAACTCCTTCAAGAAGATACTCAAACTTTAGGTTGACACGATACTCGGTCTTCCCAAGTCATTCATTTAAAACTACGTCTTTAGGCATGAACTAATATCGGCAGGCTCTATATGTGATTCAATAATAGTTATGCATAGACTGAGATAATAAATAAGCAAATAAATAACTTACTTAGCAATTATCTAATGAACACATAACGTCACATATTATTTACATATTCATTCTTCAGTGGAACCTTTGAAGTGTTTAGTGAAGAATTAGAGACCTACCCAGAGAATTTTGTACCCGCATTATCGATTATACACACAGTAAACTGACTTTGTTATAAATATATACTTCCTTTGTCCCATTTTATGTGTCTGGTTCGATTAACGAGGTTTGATTGAAGTTATTTTTAATTTAATTTTCCATAATATTAAATTTAATATTAATATACAAAATTTATATATTTAGAAACTATACTAAAAGTATTATTAAACGTAAAAAAAATTAAATTTAAAAATAAGTAAAAAGAATTAAAGAAATAAAGAATTATATTTTGAGAGCGCGTTGAAATTGATGAAAAAAATAAATATATTGATTTAGCACTAGAATCTTTTTAAAGTGGTGGAGTTTTTAAATTAAGCTGAGTGCTGGAGAATTTGTTTCATAGAAATCCGCTAATCTTTTTGTGGATTATGGTCACATAGCTATCTAAAACTTGAATACAATTTACATTTTTAATATATTAAAAATACATTATTTGTATACTGAATATATATTATTTGTTAATATACAAAATAATATACTTTTTGTAAATATAATGTACATTTTTAATATACTAAAAATATATTATTTGTATACTGAATGTATATTACTCCGATTTAATAACATACAAAATAATGTATTTTCAGTACTCAAATAATGTCCTTTCAAATAATTATGTAAATCATGGTACAATAATCCTAGCAATCCACTTGGTTGATAAACAACAATTGTTATATCACGGACCAGGTCTCATATTGTATTATGAACCCTGATTAAAAATTATGTGTCTAAATAAACATATTATGTACTTGCAATTAACAATTTATGTATTTGTAAACAAATTGAAAGCACGTAACATTGCAGTTAACACATTATATACTTGCAGTTAACAATTTATGTACTTGTAAACAAATTTGAAGACATGGTAATTACATACACATAACATGTTAATTACATACACAAATATTTTTAACTGAAGGTACATATTGTTGGTTAACATGTATTGTGTCTACAATTAATTTTTTTGTACCTACAGTTAACAGTTTATGTGTATGTAATATGTAATGTGTCTTCAATTTGTTTACAAGTACAAAAATAATTAATTGTAGGTCCAGAATGTCTCAACTATAGAAAGATAATCTAAAACTTATTTTTGTACCAAGATACACAATACAAAGTAAACTTGGTCCATATAATAATTTGCAGAAACAGGTGTTACCCGAGACAAACGCGGCCTTCTCTTTTCCTTCCCTCTGTTCATTTACCCTGCTACTTCCACCACTGCTGTGCTACAAACAGAACACACAATTTTTTAGCCGGATCAATAAAATTTCCATAATCAAATTGAAACCTCCCATTGCTCTTCTCTCAGCAATCCAGAGGTAGCAGGAAATTCTTCAAATTCGCGACTTCTTCATTCCCAACTCGCTTTCTGTTTCTTGATATTTAAATTTTCAGTTGCTGTTCATTCTATTTTACTTTGCCCTCGATTTAATGTGCTTTGGGTGAATATTATTTAAGTAGTCTTTGTTTTTAGCTGCATTTTGATGATAAAGAAGAACTTTTGAGGATTTCTTAATATTGTTGTAGTGGATAATGTAGTATATGCTAATGGCTTTATTTTGAAATGCATTATCAAGTGTGTATACAATAGCTTTAGGTTTTCTTAATTTCTCATTATTTACCTTGGAAGACGTGGGAGAAAAGAGGGGTTTATAGGATAGAATTGATGTTCATTGCTTGGTTGCTGAGTATAGGTATGGAAATGAGGCATGGAAATTAAACACATTTTGCGAGGTTAATGTGGAAATGCTTGGGGATAAAGTATATATTAGTTTACTGATTGCGCAATGAACTTAAGTTATTAAGCATTAGTCCACTCTAGTTATGGTCTGCTACATGTAATCTACATCTTCATCCATGGCTGTAAGAGCTAACTCCCTTATGGCCTTATATTTCCTTGAGCTAGGATATACGGAGTATTTATTAATAAATTAGTTTAGGTCTTAGTTTATCTCATTTATTTGTCAATATACTTGCCTTCATTAGGCATCCCTCTCTGTAATTGGAGAAATGTAGGTCTTTTAATAGTATATAAAAAGAAATATGAAAAAAGGAAATCATTAAAAACAGTGGTTCCTTAAAGACATTTGTGTGAAATGCATGTGGTAGGCATTCATTTCCATTTGAGGGTTTTTGTAGGATACTAGGGCACATGGATTTTGTTAAGAATGTACCATATGATGATAAGAGGTTATGAAATGTAGATCCAGGATGACTGCCTCAATCCTTTTAGAGTGATGAACTCTCTTCTGTTCCTTTATTTATTAATTTCTAGAGAAGTGCTGTTTGGTTATGCATCAAAGTAGCCATTGCTTTTGATTTTATTGCAAGTTCAAAGTTTCCACATACCTTCCTTTCCCTTAAAGAATTAATTAAAAAGAAGAAGAGCAAAATGGCTATCCCCTATGAACAACTTTGCTACAGCAACTAAATATTGACTTTATAAATGCTAGAGAAAAGTATATTGTAACTAGTGCATTTAGTCTTATCAGTTTCCATTTGGTCATTTCTGCAATTCTGGATTTTCTGGTTCTGATTTCAGTAATTTTCAGGTTTTCATTAATCTCTGCAATGGCAGCAGTTGTGACTTCCTTCTTGCAAACTACTGTAGCAAGGCCCTCTATTTTCTCTACTCGGAGAATCTTTAGTGGGTGCTCGAATGCTGATGCTAAAGAGGTGTCATGGAATAGGCTTGCCAGTACTCATCATGTATCATCTATACGGCATTTGCATCGTTCTTTCACATCAGCATCTCCAACATTTGGAAAAGGTGTAACTAGGGCAAAATTGGAATGTGATGAAAGCAAGCCTGTTACTGGTTTGCCAATAAATTTGAAAGGTTAGATTCGTGTGGTTCTGATTTTCCTTCTATACAAACATAATGGAGACTTATGCATAATCGTGTCTGTTTTCTGTAGAGGCCCTCATGGTGATGAAGGAGGGCCTTGGTGCAATTTGATATTGTTTTAGTACATTTGTGGGGTTGATAATTGAACACATGATCTCATTGTTGTTAAGGCGTTGCCTAGGTGTCCGGTCTGTGGAGACCGGTCGCCTAATGAGCTCGCCTTGCCTTAAAAAAAAACCCCTACTAATATGTAGCTAAGAGCATGAGACGCTGACTCCCCCCTCCTAGCCTCGCCTTAGTGGTTGTTTACTTTGTTTTATGACATGTTTTAGCTGAGAATGAAAATAACCCTAATTATGATCCATCAATGGATCCTTAAAGGAAGGCTAAATCTAAAGACCCATGCTAGAAATGCTAAAGAGTTAATTCCACCCGAGGTCCCTTGTTTTTGGTAGCAATTCCAAATTTAGCTCCAGACTATCGTTTTGGCCATTTAACATCCTAGACTATTATTTTTTGGACACTTTTAATCCTTCTCATGACTTTTCCTATTTTTAGTGTGGGCATTTTTGTCTCTTCATATTTTTCTTTTGTTATTTTTCCTGTTTCAACCGGTTTAATTGGTAATTGGTTTAGGACTTTACTAAAAATCGGTTGAAAAATATAGTTACTAAAATCAGAGGTTGCCTAAAGTTCTAAACTAATTAAACCGGTTGAAACCAGAAAAATATGAAAAGACAAAAATGCCCTTACTCATGAGAAGGATAAAAGTGTCCAAAAAAAATAGTCTAGGATGTTAAATGGCAAAAACGATAGTCTGGGACTAAATTTGGAATTGCCACCAACGACAAGGGACCTCTGGTGGAATTAACTCAAATGCTAAATTATTGCATAATTTAGTACTTATTGTTGAGATTTGAAAATATGTTTAGATGCTAAAATGCTAAATTA